CCTATTATTACAACATGACATAAAATAAAAGGTTACCCTGCAGAGATTTATTTATTTATTTTTTATATCCCGGTCCCAACGGGCCCACGAGGGCAAACAAAACCGGAACTCAAACTGTGTCCTAAACCGTCTATACCCCAAATATTTCTTCCAATCCACGGCGCTCTTTAATCACAAAAAAGCCCCATGCGCAATTTAGCCTACAGCGCGCTTCTACGGCGAGAAAGCAAGATAAGGACGAGTTAAAAAACAAAAAGGTTAGTCGCACGCAAGAGGCCAATCCTAAGAAAACGTCCAAACCCACCACCAAAAGAAAGCCACTTTGGCGCATGTTAGCGGCATAGAGAGCATATAACACGACCATGGTCCGGAAAAACTAGCTAGAATCTGCGCAGGTTAGCAGGGAATGAAACGTGAAACACGCTAAACTAAATGGAACTACAAACACAAACAGAAGCCAAATAAAGGCAGAAACACATCAAGTAACAACCTGAAGGGCAAGCAGCTTAGCAAAATGAAAGAAAAACACTTACCTGGGCCAAAAGTTGGGCTTCGAAGAAAGCAGAAACTAGTAAAGTAGTCAAAACCTCGCAGGCGCAGGCGCACATTAGCAAGCCGTTAGTAAGGGTAACTGTCACTGATCCGTATCGAGCCTCCATTTGCGGGCGTCAAAAAAAGGAAAAAATAGAGAAACCTGCGAAAACAGGATCCATGACCGTTAGATCTATTCCAAAAACCGTATCAGCTGTCAGATCTCGCACCACGCAAAAGACAAAAAAATCCAAAAAAATAAAAATAAAAATAAATGAAAATCATAATTATATAAACAAAAACAAATAAAAATCTTGTTTTCAAGAATGTTCGTTTAACAGTGAAAAAAAAAAGTTAAACAGAGAGATGAGAACGTATTTTAAAGAAAACGTGTTTTTTTCAACACAGAACTAGACAAAAAACAGCTTTCTGCGAAGATAAACCCTTGCCGGCGACGGTCTTCGACAGGGATATTCAAAATTGAAAAACGAGCACAAAGTCAAGTTAAACTATATCGGAAATCGTAACAGAAGCAAACAAACTCCAGAAGTTTGAAGCAAAACAAGTAAATTCTCATGGAGAAAGCATCAAAATTCAACGGAACCAGAGAATTTGAAGCAAAAACGAGCAAAGCTTCACAAAAAGGGCGAATAAAACACGATGAATTACTCGGTTTTCACTGTAAACAAGAAAACTGGAGCAAAGAGAGCTTAATTTGACTCAAAGAACTCACAAAACCTCAAAACGGCAAGTAAACAAGAAATCAACAGAAAAAAACTTTCATTGTCGGAGGAAAAGTACAGAACCGAGCTCAAAAGAAAGCGAACCAAGCAGAGAAGTGATCAAAACAGAGAAAATAAAACACAAGGAAGAGAATTAGAGAGGTGAAGCGTACCAGGAATGAAGATCTGAGCACAGAGAGAGCAGATCTGGAGGTTTGAGGCTCTAAAACATGAAGAAACAAGCGTTAAGAGCTCCCTGCATTTTGGACCGTTGGATCTTGATCGTAGAGACAGAAGAGAGACTCCAGAAGATATAGAAAAAAATAAATATCATCACAAAAAGAAAGAGAAAGCAGAGAATACTGGTGTGGCATGGTGACTGATTGACTAACTGCCCGTAGTTTCTCATTCAGGTTTAGGGCAGGTCGGGCAGGGTTCTTCTCGATGTAAATTTTGAAAAGCTCGTGAGTTCGGGCTGCCCATGGAGAGTAAGAAAGGACAAGTGTGGGTATTATTAAAAAGATTTTAATAATTGTTTTTTCTTTTTACATAATTATCTCTTGCTTCTTTTTATTAAATTGTAATTTATTAAACTATGAGGCTTTTTGTTGAAGTCTCTCTGTCGTGTTTTTACTGTACTGGCTTGTCTCTTAGTAATCATGGTTTGGTTAATAAACCAGTTTAAATAAGGTTAACTAACCACTGCTAAGATATACAATTCTCGGTCACTTTACAGTGGGGATCAGTTCATTGGATTTTAACCGCGAAAAAAAAAGTGTAAAGACGGTGCTCTTGTGTTTCCCACAGAAAAAATCAACCCATTCAACCCATTAATAATAATAATAATAATAATAATAATAATTTTTAAAAAAATAAAAATAATAATTCAAATTAATCTGAGTTAACTTACTAAATTTATAATTTAAATTACAAAATCAAGATAATTTTATAAAAAATAAATAAATAAATTAAAAATAATGAAAAATTTTTTTATTTAAATTAAGTTTTTCTAAAAAATCCACTTAAAAAAAAGTTGCAAAACATTCTAAAAATCTAAATAAACTTGTATATAAGACAAAAATATAAAAAAAACAGTTTTAGAAATAAAAAGAACTTAAAACCAAAAACCAAAAACCATAAAATAATGAATTTTTTTTATTTAAATTAAGTTTTTCTAAAATAATGAAAAATTTTTTTATTTAAATTAAGTTTTTCTAAAAAATCCACTTAAAAAAAAGTTGCAAAACATTCTAAAAATCTAAATAAACTTGTATATAAGACAAAAATATAAAAAAAACAGTTTTAGAAATAAAAAGAACTTAAAACCAAAAACCAAAAACCATCTCAAGCTTAAATCTATCCTCTCAAATAAGGTAAAGGAAAAATGTCAATTTCTTCTTATCGAATAAAATTTGTTAATACAAAAATTAATTTTTTTACTATTAGAATTGACACCAATTGAATTTATTCTTTTTCTTTCACTAAAATTTAATGACCTTTTCTCTTATATTTTAAATCTAGAGATTGAAAAATGAAAAAAAAAAAAATTTTTGCATTTGAGAGTCAATTTTAGAAGAAAAAAATAGGGAATAAAAAAGTATTCATTGTCAAATAGATAAATCAAAGCTAACTTTTTGGTGTTAATGTCACAAGCACCACCTAACCTTTTTTTACCTTTTATTTTAATCCCTATCTTTAAATTTTGCCTTTACATAACAAATTATAAGAACCTGACAACTAATGTTATGATAAAAAAAATTAAATTAAAGAGAAGAAAAAAGTTTGATGAACAAAATAATAAAAAAAAAGCCCATCTATTATAAATTAAGTTATAATCCGCGTATTCCAGGTTAGATGTATGCTCCTAACATGTTAAGGGAGCATTTACAGTTATGATCCTAAAAACTTAATACAATGAATCCTACAATTTTAATAAACAAGGAAGAATTATATATAAAAAATACTCAATAATTTAATTCATTTTCAAACAATGAATTTATTAAATTTTGTAATTGATTTTGTCCTTTGTAGTTTAGGGTTTTGTTTGTATTTGATTTGCATGGCCATAAGCAATTTGGATTTTGTTGATCGGTTCATCTTTAAAATATTCATGTTCATTGTTTTCTATTTTTTTTCTCCTTTTCAGACATTGAAGTAAGGTTAAGCGGATTGTATGGTCTAAACACGCGTGCATTTATGGCCATGAGCGTGTAATGGCATGGCCTTGAGCAGTGGCCATGAGCTTGAGCCATAAAACAATTGTTGAAAGACTTACTTCTAACAAAGGAAGGCTTGGTGAATCTGAGAACTTAGTTAGAAGGCAAAGTAGGCTTACCATAATTTGATAGCTATAGTTAAATTACGTTGTCATGTTCGAGAGAATCACAATCACAAATACAAATATAAAAACTACAGTTACATTAAAAAAAAATGGAAAATCACCATCCACTCCGTCACAAAATTATTGTTATAGTGTCAGTTTTTTTTTTTTATAACTCAAGTTTTATTACCTCTTTAATTCCATTCTTTTAAATTAGATTGGATTGGTAATAGATTTGATATTTTGCTTTGATTGGCTTCGTGTAGGTTTCATGTTATATTAGGGGAACAAACAACACTCAATTGATACTTAGTTTAGCAAAATTAAATGAAATTATATTGATTTAAAATAATTTGAGTTATAGGAATTGAATTTGAATAATAAATAAATATTCAACCTTTTTTTTTTTAAGAGTCAGGGACTAAAGTGCATAAGCAAGGGAAAGATCAAACCCATAAACAAATTTGGTCACTTTATTTTTATTTTTATTTTTATTTTTATTGGATTTTTTAAAATGTAAAATAAATCTTGATTTTTTTATTTGAAATAATTAAGGCTTGAGGGACTAAATTTAAGACTAAAAACAATTGTAGGGACCAGTGTTGACAAATAATGAAAAATAGGTTAAAGTGTGTATTGCATATACCAATGTGTAAAGGAAGTTGCCACACATGCGGTTGCCTCCAGTGTCAGAATGCATCCATCTTTGATGGTGTTTAATGCATCTCAACAAGACCTTTTTGAATGCATAACATGTGTGGTGGTTGGTTGCACATAAAAGAGTTTATTTTTTTTTCCCCTTCTCCTCCCTTTTTTCTCTCTCTTATCCTTGGACTTTATGTTATTCTATAAAAAAAACTCAAATTATTTTTCTCCTTTTGGTTTTTATTTTAGACTGAGTCATTCTTTTTTTGGATTCTTTTTTAAAAATTATTTTTATCAAATTAATCATTCAATATTAGATTAATTAGAAATTAAACTTTATGATTTTTTTGATAAGATAATTTCGATCTAATGACCTGGGTCACAGGTTTTAAAAATTAACTTGTGTAACATTATTTTATTTTACTTTTTTTTTTACATGTGGCTTTTTTTAAAAAAAATTATTTGTCAACATTGAGTTTTTTTAAAGATTAGTCATCATTATTTTTCTTGTTTTGATGAGTTAACTCAATTTGACTCAAGTGTTTTTTATTGGTTTTTTTAAATATATATTTTTTATTTTTCAAGATTATATTTTTATCAATAACATAATAAAGACAAGTCTTAAGAATATATTGTTAGGAGCTAGCAGGCCATCATGCTTGAAGAAAAACATAGCTAGATTTAAATAGTCATTGCTAATAATAACTTCCTTACAAACCACTAAATATTTACAAATCCAAAATAAATAGAACTTGAATTCTATGGCAACAAGGTTGTTACCTTTAAGGAATTCTAGTGCAAATTTTTTAAAAGATTTTCTAGACTTCACGATGATGAGTAACTCTCTTTTCCTTTCTAACTCTACACTTAACAAGTTTATAGTTATCAAAAGAGAAAGTAGTTATAATTTTAAATATAATTGGAGGGAAATAAGCCACATCTTGGATTCGTCACTGTTGCTCCTCGCGGTCTTTCTAAGCATGAGTGTTATTTCTTATTTGTCTTATTGATTCCTTGTTTATATGCATATTTTTCTCATAATTCTATAACTTCACTTGCTAGTCAATGGTTGGAGCTTGGGCTTGTGATTTCAGTTCAGCATGATAACAAGGCATTCATGGGTCGTTCACTTCTTGATTCCCTAATGCTAGCACTTGAAAATTCACTTTGAAAAAAAAATGCAAAAAAACTAGGACGATAATACTTCAATTATTCTGAAAAATTAGGATAATAATGGGTCACTACAAACATTCGATTTTAATATATTTATAATTTCTAATCATAATTTATTTCAACAGCAATTTATTTAGATGTGATAATCAAGGCTTATTCTATCAATCTTAAGTTGCGCATGAGCGGTGTTTTCGATGTCAAGATTTGAACCCACTACTGTCTCGTCGAATCACTCGAGCATCTTTCCTTCCATCCAATTATTCTCGACTTCTAGCTTAGTAGCTTCTTTTTTTACATGCACAAAGGAAGTTTGGAATTAAAACTCTGTTTGGTATTACAGTTTAACCTTATTTTTTAATTAAATATTATTAATTATTAAATATTTTTAAATTTTTTTGATGTTCTTGTGTTAAAATTAAATTTAAAAAAATAAAAAAAACATTGTTATAAAACATTTTTATCACTACAACTTGAAGCTGGTGAGAGGGACTGAGGGCCACTGTGCTCGTATTCCAGGCCCAGAAAGGGTGATCCCAACTCCACCTGAATTTAATAAATTGATTTTTGGAGGGCAGCGACTATTGGGTAAAAAAGAGAAGCTCGTGGATCCAGTTCATCACCGCAGCTGTCAAGATCCAGCCATTCAGATCAGTATGTTTATCGGGTTTCTTCTGTGTGTGTGTGTAATGGCATTGCAGCTGGCATGTGGACACTGCTCAGCAAAGTTAAAAAACATAAAGAAGAAGGTTGAAGGATGCAAATAATTTATATTTAAATCATTGGAAAGGCATCTTAAGCATCCAAAAAGCTTTCAAAGGATGGTGTCTTAATTTAATACCAAAGTGGATAAAGATAAGAAGGATCTATATCATCAAGGTCTCGAGGCGTGAACTATGAAAAGAAAATTACTTTACTAGATGTTAACAAAAACCTAAATGTGCTCAGACGTGAGTGAACATTGTTTATTCTGATAGTGTTTTCCTTTCTTTTACCCCTTGGGTTTTTTACATTTTGATCCCTTGATTCTTGTTACTTATTATTCAGTCCTTCAATTTTATTTTAATTTATTTGAATTTGAAGCTTAAAAAATGTTCAACCCCACTTGTTTAAATTGAATTTTTTTTAAGTTTTACTCTTTAATATTATATTTGTTAGATAATTGAGTTTCATAGTTTTATTAAGTTTGTTTTTTATGAGTTTATCCTAATCTTGCAACCAAGT